TCCTTTTATGTTAGATGTACATTTTTATCATTAAAAATAAGTATTTCATTTATTTTTTTTATCCAACAAATTATTACTTAAATGTATGGATGATCACGGTTCGGTTCGAACCTAGGCTAACCATACACTGTAGCAGTCGAATCGAAACAGTAAGGACAGTTCTGGTTATGATTCATAACCGGGGAAAAATAAAATAAAATAAAATAATTATTGAATTTAGACTATTTTAAAAATAAAAAATAGAATTTATAAAAATAAATAAATAAATAAATTTTAAATTTGCGGTTCAAACCGAAATTGGAACTTTCCTAAAAGGTTCCATTCCGATTTATCATTTCCAAGAACCGTGAACTGGAACTGAACTAGCAGTTCAAACCGAAACTGGAACCTTTTTAAAAAGGTTCCCGTTACGATTTATCATTTCTCAGAACTGTGAGCCGAAACCGAATCGCAGACATATCTACTTATATGTGAAATTAGAATAAATGTGAAAATGATCAAACACTACTATTGGTAAATGATAAACCCTTTTGGTTTGGTTCCAATTTTACTTTTGAACCATTGATTCAAAATTTATTTATTTATTTTTGTAAATTCTATTTCTTATTTTTAAAATAATCAAAATTGAGCAATTATTTTATTTTATTTTATTTCGATCCTAATTAAATCGTAACCAAATCTGTCCTTACTATTTCAGTTCGATTGTTACAGTGACCGATTAGGTTCGAATCGAACCATACTTATCCTTACATAAAAGCAATAATTTTGTTGGAGAAAAAGAAATAAATGAAATACTTATTTTTAAATGTAAAAATATAGATTTAACAATAGGTATATGTGGGGGTGGGGGTGGGGGTGGGGGTGGAGGGGGGGGGGGGTGGATTGTCGCTTTTAACATAACTGATGACGGCAAATGTGGATAAATGAATAACTTAGGGGGGAGAAAGTGTCATTTTCCCCAAATGATAAATATATAATTGAATAAATTTGGTAGATAAACTCTGTAGATTAGAGAGGCTTTTTTTTTTCTTTTCATTTTTTTCTTTTTATAACTATTTAATGTGGTTAACAATTAGGGGTGTAAACGAGCAGCTTGAGCTCGGGTTGGCTTGAGCTAGAACTCGATAAACAATAGGTAGGCTCGAGCTCAAAAATTGAAGCTTGAGCGCGATCGGCTCGATTATGAAATGAGCCGGCTCGAGCTCGAGAGTGGAGCCGAACTTTGACTGAGTGACTCGTGAACCGCTCAGCTATATATATATATGTGTGTGTGTTGGGGGGGGGGGGGGGGGGGAGGGGGGCTCGCAAGCGGCTCGACGAGCCACGAGCCTAAAATATTTGAGTTAGCTCGAGTTCGGCTTGAGCTCGACTAATTTACACTCCTAGTTAACATTGGTGATTCATGGATGGATCAAATCCGTGAGATATTTTGAGTTTTGGAGATGAATAATGGTATCATGCATGCATAATGAGCAGATCGATGAAAGACAGATTTTAGAATAGCACTAGCTAAGTGCAGGATGAAAGTAGAATTATGCAATTAAAATGCTTAAAAGAGAAGGATGGGAGAATACAAAGATTTGGTAATTAGTGGTGAATTCTCTAGGAAGAAGAGCAGAATGCAAGAGAAAGCATAAATGCTATAGGGATTGACAATCATGGAGGTGAGTAAAATATTTATTAATTAACAAACTAAATAAATGGTGCATATATAAAGCATTCTATTCCAGTACGTACGTCAAGACGTACTCAATTAAGAATCCCTGATCTATCTTTCGATTATTTTATGCTCCATCCCTTTATATTTTGTGTTCACCATTTTGGATGACTTGCATGTGATGAACTAATTAAATTCCAATTAAACCAACTTAATTAGTTGACATGAGTATCGTACACTATTGTCCCTTAATAGATCTTAACTTTAACATGTCATTGTTATATTGATTTTTGAAAAATATTTGATTATTGTATGAATAATTATTTAATTTGATTACTTATTAAAAAAAATTATTTAGTTTGATTTGTAGTAAGATTGACCAATTTATTTACAAGTAATTTATAAATGTAAAGAGTTTTCAATCTTATATATAAAAGAAGGAGGAAATGACTATTGAAAGTGATTTTAAATTTTTTTTTTTTTTATGAAATAGTAATTAGGTAGGGCAATATATAGAATGAATTAAAAAGATTGAAATTGTTGTGGTTTTGTCCCTCAGCTCTTGACTGCAAGGCCGGCCGACAACATGACCTAATCTACAGTTTATTATATGTTATAATTAAATAAACAATTAACATTAAGATGAGATGTAAAGAAATAATAACAATAAAGATTATAATTCTTCCCTACCATGTGGCTTTCAGTATTCCACACTCTCTCCACTTTCAAAGAGACACTAATTAGATTGGATCTCCATCTAATTACAATATTTTATGCATATACTTAATTAAGTAAAATATCCAAATTCATTATATTCTTATATTCTTCTGCTGACAAGTGACAACTACTAAAGTACTAATACAGATCCCCATTTTCACTGAAAATAATGCTGTTAAGGTTTCATTTTCTGTCTTTTTTTTTAAAAAAAAAAATAGGGATTTTTTTTTTTTTTCAAAAAAGAAAAGAAAAGAAAAGGATTGAAGATAAATGGAGAGACAATGATAAATATGGTTTACGTAACGAGAGTTGACAAAGAGGTGGTGTATTTATTAGAATGAGTAATTGAGTTCTTAATTAAATAAAAATTGAGTAAAAATAAATTAATAACTTAGGTGATATTGTAAAAAAAAAAAAAAAAAGTAAAGTTCAACGGAATAAAATTTCCCCTCGTTAAGAAATTTTAAAAATTTGTTTAAAAAGTTGAGAAGTTCGAAAGCAAATGCAAAGGTGTCAGTTAACCCATGTTCTTTCATTTTATTTTTATTTTAACCCATGTTCTTCTACCACATTGAGGAGTTAATTAAAATCCCCATAACTAACATGTGGGATGACTCATCATTATATTGTGTACCACCACTATATATGTTATATATATGTATCTATGAATATGATGGACCATTTCTGCCAGCTCTCTTTATGGTACATTAGACTACGTACTGCAGAAATGGCTAAAAAAAAAGTCCATTTTCTCTTTGGTAAATCTAATGGACTTGGCAAATTTGCAGCACGTCCCTTTGTCTTTGTAAAATTACTTAACAATAACCCCTTTCTACTAATTCAAGAGTTTCAAATAAGTGAGAAGGGAATGTAGCTCAAATGGTAGAGCACTTGCTTTGTATGTGAGATGCACGGGGTTCTATCCTTCGCATCTCTATTTGCTATCTTCATTTAGGCTAATGTTAGGATCATAAGACGGGATGCAGTGGTTTACCCTATATAATTAATAGAATTAGACCAGTCATACTAATTATCACTTTTAATTTATTCAGTGTTGTAAAAATCGGCCTAGGCACCCCTAGGCCAAGGAGATTTCAGTCTTAAGCGGCTTTTAGTTAGCTAGCCGACTAGGCATCCTACCCCGAGTTGGGCGCCTAATTCTGCCGAGTGGTGCCCAACTAGACTGCATCGGCGGCGCCCAACTCGGCCGAGTGATATTTTTTGCCTGCTCGGTTGCTCATCTTCTATATTTCTCCAGCCATATACTCAACTATCTAATATATGTAGTTGAGTAGTTTGTGGGATTATAATAGTTGGGTGGAAAAATGGAAACGATATATTCGACTCCTAGGCGCTCCCGGATGCCGGACTAGCGCCTTCTGCAACATTACTTTTATTTTTAATGGATGACATTTTTACACATAGTATTGTAGCATTTCATGAACCACCAAATTAATGAGTATAATTAATAGGATTACCAAGATGGTATTCATTGGATCAGAAAGTTAGTGATAAGGCTTAAAAGATTGTTATACGACATCCATATTCAAGCTGGGCGGGTGGTTGATCTGCGCTCCCCTTGTGACAATGAAAGATCATATATTCATTGCTATAATAAAATAAAACATATGTGTGGGTCTGTTTTTTGGGAAATAAAATAAAATAAAATTTGTACAGTATAAATGCACACAATAAAATAGGAAAATTAAGGTTGTGCATTGTTCGGAAAGTGATAAAAATTCCAACCACTTTGATCAATGCTCAGAATTACTTAGAAGAATTTTTGCAGATCTCAATAGTGATAGAAAAAAAAAAACATATTTTTGACTGAAATTCTAACTTTTATGGCCATTCAAGTGGTCAAAAATTCACGAAATTCCAATAATGTTGGTGAATTTGTACAAAGGTAGAACATATAATATTTGAAGGAGAATAATTGATAGTTTTTAGTGTTTTGGGGTAAAAAAAACATAGACTAAAAAATATCTATGAAATTTAACACAAAGAAAAGATGATAAATAGGGAATGAAGGTTTCCATGGAGAATTGAAAACCACTAGTTTTGTTCCAACCGCTATGTCCAATAAAGACTATCCAAAAGCACAGTGTCATGGAGACAAACAAATATGCCTTATGAAAACAACAATCCAAAAACACTACTCGGAGGATTACTGCCATCAATAGACAAATTAAAGAAGCTGTAAAAATGAAAATAGATTGATTTACCCTCACAATTCTTCATCTCCCGAAAGGTTGAATCCCCAACCCCAAGAATCCCCACACCCCAATCCGACTGAGCATTTGGGACAATGTAAATTACGGTGACTCAATGATTCAGCAGACATGGTCAAATATCGGTGCGCACAAGGGATCTGCCCACTTTGGGCTTAAACCCCACACTGCAGTTGTCGATGTTCGAACTTTGGTTTCTTCTCTCAAATACTGCCTACTGAACCATTGAGCTAAGTCCGTCACAATCCTGTCGGGATGGGGTCTGGGACCTTTGGGACGAGAAATTTCGCCTTTTTGGACAAAATGAAAATAAAAAAATAAAACTAAAATGTGTTACTATTAAAAAATGAAAAAAAAATAATAATAAAGGCAAAGGAAGCCATCTGCATCAGCATTCTCCCAATCAACAGCCATTTCCCCAAGTACAATAATAATAGAAAATTGTAAGTTGTCTGGGATCCAGATCTTCTGGTTTTCTTGTATAAACAAAACATGGGGTTCCCCCCTCTACAATCCCAAAGAACTCATCACCTTCTTCTTTGCTCTCTCACCACTCACCAATGCCTGCACTTCTAAGAAGCCCTTCTCTTTTCTCCACCTATACCTTTCTACTTCTTTCACTAAACTCCCTCTTCTTCTTCTCTCCTGGCCACTCCATTGATGCACAGGGCCAAGCTCTTCTAGCATGGAAGGCAAGGCTGAACAGCTCAACAGATGCTTTGAAGTCATGGAATGCTGTGGACCAAAGTCCTTGTTCCTGGTTTGGGATATTCTGCAACTCAGATGGAGAAGTTGTGAAGATAAGCTTGAAGGCAGTGAATTTGCAAGGCCCACTGCCTTCAAATTTGCAGCCTCTCAGATCATTGGATACTCTGATCATATCATCTGCCAATCTCTCAGGCTCTATTCCCAGGGAGTTTGGGGACTATCTTGAGCTGGTTGTTCTTGACATAAGTGACAACTCAATCACAGGGACCATTCCAGAAGAGATATGTAATCTGGGAAAGTTGCAGGCTTTGGGTTTGAACACAAATTTGCTTGAAGGTGGGATTCCTGGAGAGATTGGGAGGCTCTCCAGCCTCAAGTATCTAACGCTCTACGATAACCAGATCAGCGGGGAGATTCCTAGGAGCTTCGGGCAGCTGAGCAATCTTGAAGTGTTCAGGGCTGGTGGGAATCAGGATCTTAAAGGCGAATTACCTTCTGAGATTGGGAACTGCAAGAACTTGCAAGTTTTAGGCCTTGCAGAAACAGGCATTTCCGGGGGGCTTCCATCCTCAATTGGCAAGCTGAAAAGGATTCAAACCATAGCTATATACACATCACTGTTGTCAGGCCCCATTCCAGAAGAGATTGGGAACTGCAGTGAGTTGCAGAACCTCTACTTGTACCAGAATTCAATCTCGGGTCCCATCCCCCGGACCATGGGGAAGCTCGAAAAGCTTCAAAGTTTGCTGCTTTGGCAGAACAGCATAGTGGGCACCATCCCAGAAGAGCTGGGAAGCTGCAAAGAACTCACAGTCATTGATTTATCAGAAAATCTCCTGACAGGCAGCATCCCAGCAAGCTTGGGGGGCCTTTCGAGGCTCGAGGAGCTACAGCTAAGTGTGAATAAGTTATCAGGTACCATACCTTCTGAACTATCAAATTGCACTGCTCTGACTCACTTGGAAGTTGACAACAATGCAATTTCTGGGGAAATTCCTGCTGAAATTGGGAAACTTAAAAGCATGACTCTATTTTTCGCCTGGCAGAATAACCTGACAGGCAACATTCCAGACTCTTTATCTGAATGTGAGAGCCTTCAGGCCCTTGACCTCTCTTACAACACCCTCTTTGGCCAAATACCAAAGGGGATATTCTCTCTGAGAAACCTCACTAAACTGTTGTTGCTTTCCAATGATTTATCCGGGTTTATACCGCCCGATATAGGGAACTGCACAGAATTGTATAGATTTCGAGTGAACAAGAACAGGCTGGGAGGCACTATTCCAGTAGAAATAGGGAATTTAAAAATCTTGAATTTTCTTGACATGAGCAACAACCACTTCATGGGTTCTGTTCCTCCCTCAATTTCTGGATGCATAAACCTTGAGTTTCTTGATCTTAGTTCAAACGCATTGAGTGGCCTTGTCCCTGATTCCTTACCCAAAACCTTACAATTTCTAGACATGTCAGATAATAGGCTTACTGGTCCATTGGGACCAAGCATTGGTTCCTTAACAGAACTAACAAAGCTGAATCTTGGGAAAAATCAACTTTCTGGCAGATTCCCAGCAGAGATAGTGTCTTGCACTAAGCTTCAGTTGCTAGACATTGGGAACAATGGCTTCTCAGGTGATATACCAAAAGAGTTGGGTAAAATCCCCTCACTGGAAATCTCTCTGAACCTTAGTTACAATGGGTTCACTGGAGATATCCCAGATGAGTTTTCCGGCCTTACCAAACTAGCAACTCTTGATCTTTCCCACAACAAGCTGACTGGGAAATTAGATGTTCTTGCACACCTTCAAAACCTTGTTTCCCTCAATCTATCATCCAATAACTTCGAGGGCGAACTACCCAACACGCCTTTCTTCCGCGGAATCCCATTGACAGATCTTGCTGGAAACCCATCTCTGTATATTTCTGGTGGGGTTGTAACTTCAGCTAATAGCAGAGGACATGCCAAGACGACCACAATGAAGCTAGCAATGCCAATTCTTGTCACTGCCAGTGCAGTTTTAGTACTTCTGGCAATATACATCCTGGTTAGATCCAATTTGGGCAACAAGGGATCATCAGGGATTACAGAGACATGGGAGATGACACTTTATCAGAAACTGGATTTCTCCATAGATGACATAGTTCGCAACCTCACATCCGCCAATGTGATTGGCACTGGGAGCTCTGGGGTTGTTTACAGGGTGATGATTCCTAATGGGGAAACTCTGGCAGTGAAGAAGATGTGGTCAACAGAGGAATCAGGGGCGTTCAGTTCTGAGATTCAGACTCTGGGTTCTATCCGGCATAAGAACATTGTCCGTCTTCTAGGGTGGGGTTCGAACCAGAGCCTGAAACTGCTGTTCTATGATTATCTTCCCAATGGGAGCTTGAGCTCGCTCCTCCATGGCACTGGGAAGGGAGGAGCGGAATGGGAGAGGAGATATGATGTTGTTCTGGGCGTGGCTCATGCGCTTGCGTACTTGCACCATGACTGTGTTCCTCCAATTCTTCATGGGGATGTTAAAGCTATGAATGTGTTGTTAGGCCCTCGAATGGAACCTTACCTTGCCGACTTTGGGCTGGCAAGAATTGTCCATAGCAATTGCGGCGCCGCCGCCGACGTCAGTTCAAAGCAAGCCCAAAGGCCTCACCTTGCCGGTTCTTATGGCTATATGGCTCCCGGTAAGTTTCTTCAATTCACACCAATATAAGTTATATTACACCCACAACCACTACTTAATCGTAGTGTGTATCAGGTAAATCCCGTCACTTTGTGAATCATGTGGTAAATGAGATAAATCAATCTAGTTGTCCAGTTGGTCAATAGGCGGTTCCTGCACCTGTAACTACTATTTGAGAGTATGTGCATAAACTACAAGGGGTAAATCAACCTAAGTTATCCACCTGACCGTCTAGGTTGTCCAGTTAGCCAATAGGCGGTTCCTGCACCTGTAACTACTATTTGAGAGTATGTTGCATAAACCACAAGGGGTAAATCAACCTAAGTTATCCACCTGACCGTCTAGGTTGTCCAGTTGGCCAATAGGCCGCTCCTGCACTTGTCATTATTATTCGAGAATGTTCACTGCGTAGACCACAAGGGTAAACCAGCCTAAGTTATCCAGCTGATCAGCTGAAACAAAGAAGGCTAATACGTCTCTTGTAGGGAGTATGTGCATAAACCACAAGGGGTAAATCAACATAAGTTATCCACCTAACTGTCTAGGTTGTCCAGTTGGCTAATAGACCGCTCCTGCACTTATAGTTACTATTTGAGAGTGTGCAATGCGTAAACCACAAGGGTAAACCAGCCTAAGTTATCCAAGCTGACTAGCTGAAACAAAGAAGGCTAATAATCTCTTGTAGGGAGTCAAATTTATAACATTGTGGTTACCAAGTAAACAATCTAACGAGTTTGATTGGGGTACGGTTATCGTCCTATTTAACCTATTTAATTGTTATAACACATGGTACTTACAAAAGTAAGTGTGCTTTAACAGAGCATGCTTCGATGCGGCGTATCACTGAAAAGAGCGACGTTTACAGCTTCGGGATAGTACTCCTGGAGGTGCTTACAGGAAGGCATCCACTAGACCCAACATTGCCCGGAGGAGCACATCTAGTGCAGTGGGTTGGGGAGCATTTACACAGCAAGCGCGACCCGGTTGAGATCTTGGACGCAAAGCTGAGGGGCAGAGCTGATCCCCAGATGCATGAAATGCTTCAGACTCTCGCAGTTTCATTCCTGTGTGTGAGCACCAAGGCGGAAAGCCGTCCCACGATGAAGGACGTTGTGGCGATGCTGAAAGAGATTCGACACGAAGATCCTGCGAGCTCGGAGGCGGTGAAGGGAGGCGGCGGTGGAGCCACGGCGGCGGTCCCCAAATCGCCTCCTACCAGCAGGAATGTGTTGCATGGGTCTTCCAGCTGCTCCTTTGAGTTCTCTGACAATTCAATCTAAACAACAGCAATAGAGGCTAAAACATGTGAATATATCCTCCAGGCCAAACAATAAGAGAATCCAATGGAATAGGGCGTTTCATGTAATGTAATGTTATATTGCATTATCCATTTATCCTTCAATTGAGAGGACTTCACAACTTTTTATATTCATTATTAATTAAAAAATGTATACATGTCTTAACTTAAAAGTTTAAATTGATAATTGAATTACACATTGATATTTATATATTATATATTTAAACTCCTAGAAATTCATCTTATGCTGAAACTCGGGAACTACAAAGTCATAAGATTAAAGTACATTTTCAGTTTGGAGAGAGAAATGTGTAAGGGACAAAAAGGACATTTCCTTGGGGGCGACAAGATGTATGGGTATAATTACTCTGTTTAAGGATGAGATCGAGTAGGGTTTAGGTTGAGTGTCTATTTGAGTTGAGTTTGTAATATAAGGACATGGTGGAATGGGGCAATGATTGGGTGGCCGCCTTAATTGCTTCTTTATTACTTTATTTTTTTTTAGTACTATTGATTCGTTTTATTGAAGTACAAAGAGTCAATACTCCTAACTAAAATTCAAAAGTGTGACAGCACAAACAGTCAATGTTCAGGTTTGAAATTGTAACTTTTTGAGAAAGCTACGGTTATACTTCTTAACTACAAAGTTTTTGGCATGAATCAAAAATAAAAAAATTGAGAGATTGTGTTGTGTAGCAGCAGTCACATGGCCCCACGCTTCCAGCTTCACATTTCCTTTTGCATGTGCTTTCTGAATCCAACTTTCAAGTTTGAAGTAATGTGGAGTCTGGGGAGATCTGCGTCCTCGCTAATTGCTTCAATCTTCGTTCACTTTTCATTTTTAAGTTATGCTATTTTGCTTTCTTAGTTCTGACATTATCTTTAATATTCCCAGAAAGCAATTATTTACAGGTATATCTTATGGATGTTTGCGGCTCACCATTGCTTCTACTTTAGTTGAAATGATTGAGGGGTTCTAATGCCAATGTACTGATTTGTTATCTTTTAAAATGTTGTGGAGTTATGTCAATTCATATGAAAAGTAATAAGTTTATTCATGATATGGTGTAATAAGGCTGTAAGGAGATAGGATTAGGTATTCCCGGGATACTATGTCATCATGTATCGAGAGAATATCTAATCTTATTTATGGTGTAGTTGAATTTGAAATAGTTGTGTTTAATATGTGTAAAAGTGGACAAGTGATAAATAATTGTTAGGCTCAAGTAACTTTGACTTTTTAGTGTTAGCGTTATAGGAAATGGATCCAACTCAATGATACTGACTCTATTACAAGAGGTAATAACGCCTCAAAAGTCCAACCTGGATGCCATCTGAACACAAAGTGCTTGGCAATCTATTTTAGAATCTAAGTCCATATAAAGGAGAATAGGACAAGGAGAAGTGGAACCACAAAGAGGAAGCGGCACACTAAAGGCCAAAATGGTCCAAACCACTCCTCTAGTCCTCTCTCTATGAGACTTCATAGTAGTGCTTTTCTCCTCTTTCACGCTTCATCTTCTTCACCAAGCAAGCCACCATTAATGGTTTCTAAGTGGCTCAATCATATTTTTTTTTGGGTATACCCAGAGTTTGTAGGCATCTCTTTTAAATGGGATATCTGACCTGGAAATTTAAAACTGCTCAATTTCCAAAGTCAAGGATCGAACCCTTGACTTTACGCATGTCATTTTTTCCTTTCATGTTTCCATATAAGAATCTCACGTCCTTATTATATAAGGTTTAAGATTTAGAGCTATAGAGAATAGATGAGAATAGATAATTATGAGGCATCAAGTGGATTGATATGGATGTATTTGGGTGCATGCCAAGTGCCTTGTGATCAGTTAGTCTATTATCGTTCCAAACGAAATGTCATAGGTTTAAGTTCCATCCTAACCAAGGATGTTGGCATAATCATGTTGAACATATACTATAGTTAAGGTTATATTGTAGTCACCAAAAAAGTTGGAAAATAGATTGTTTTACTGTTCTTGTTATCCTTGATTGAATGTACAAATTACAATGTGGAATTGTAATGTTCTCAACTTCAATTGCAGTACCATTTCTGATGAAATGTCAAATTTGCAGAACTAGTTAGGGACCATTTTCGGTCCTTTACAATTACTTCGCCATAATATACACACTCTACATTCACATCATATGCCAACTACAAATTGCAGGCTGCACAAAGACATAACAATTGTAGTTTTCCCCAATTAATGATTCCATCAACTGCCACCTAATCTCATCACAACAATAATTCCAGGCCAAACTGGACCCCTATTATGCCAACCACAATCATGCAAAACAAGCTTTCATGCATGGACCACAGTGACATTCTCTTCTCATGCAATGTCCCAACCCGTCTTGCCTGTTGACCCCAGGTGTAGAAAGGCAAGTGTCTAAAACCCGAGGTTTTAGTCGATGTTGATATCATTGATGGCATGGGCTTTAGGAAGGATGTTTGGATTCTAACTTCTTCAGCACGAAATTAATGACACTCCAGTTAAAGCCACGGTACTGAAGCCAATGGATAACTCTTGATTTCCGTGTCTCTCTAGGTGCATCGCGACTCCGTAGCCATTGTTTAGAGGCCTGGACAAGAAGATGATCCAATGAAAGCTTGGACATACCAACCCCTGATTCTTGCTCTTCTCCGGTTTCACTATCCTTGAATACCAGTTTTATTGCCCCGTCTGCATCCATTTCATTTACTCCCTTCTTGATCAAGGCCTAACTCAAATACGATATCCATTAGTCCATTACACGGTGAGAATTGCAGCACACAGGTTCAACCCAACTTAAATATCATGGAGGCACAACAATCCATTTCAATTATAAGAGTAAACTTACTTGTTTAATTCGTCTTGGACTCCAACTTAAGGAAGACCATCTAGATCTCGTATAAGTTTCTGCGTATAAGCAATCATTAATTAGACCCCTGCAGGAAATGACAAGTGTTAATAGCAATGGATTGAGTGTCATCAATAATAAGTGAAGTCAGATATGCATGGAGTAAAATACATTCTAATTCCCATACAACAATGAGCGTATGGGCAAACAAGAATAGATATTCATAACTATTAAAATAACATCTCCCACAATAATCTATGGTTAAATGGTTCTTATTCAAGATTACTTACCTGGTGCACAGGTCTGTTATCACCGAATCAATAGTATGAACTGGAAATCTCTTTCCTTGGAGTTTCTTCTTAAGCTCTACAGCTGTTAAAGCTCTGCATAGTAGGAAAACATACTTCATAAGAATAATAATAGAAAAAGGCACTCCATATCATTTAAAGCAAGATTGAGTGTTTATCATCTTTTTATCTCGGGAGATTTAGCTTCTGAACCCAAAAAAAAAAGGTTCAAATCAGTGAACTTCCAATTAATCATCTGTTTATCTCTGGCAATTTAGCTTCTCAACAAAAATAAGTTCAAATTAGTGAACTTCCAATTAATCATCTGTTTATCTCTGGCAATTTAGCTTCTCAACAAAAAGAAGTTCAAATTAGTGAACTTCCAATTCTTCCTATCCTTGTTGCAAATACGTAATCAAGTTGTAACCATAGTTTGAATTCTAAAGCTTGGCATTAAGGGTCCCACAAACATGATACTGCACATAAGAAGTTGAACTTAGGATTTCAACCTTGCAGCAAGTAATTGAATTGCTACTCTTTCCACATCTTGCCTAGATGCATGGTGATCATTAAAATCCGATATGATCTCTTCAGTCTCTTCCAAGAATTCACAGTTTTCAAACCTGAAATCACCATCAATTTCTTTCTCCATCCCTGAAATTTCATAAAGTGGTAAAGACTTTCAAATTTTCTGAACTTCCCCTCCCCTATTTCAAACATAGACCACATAAGAAACATGCATATCATTATATTTTAGAGACTAGAACTCTTCAGTAAAGCCACTACTTAAATTGTTTTTACCATAATGAAGCTCAGCTCTTTTGGAGTTCCGGTTCACACTATTATGCTTTCCTACATCCACCGGATTCTTTGCGGACAAAGAAGGAGTCTTGGATTCTTCGGAATTCAAAGGTTTCTTGGGAATGTATTTCTCTGGAATTGAAGCGTTGTAGTGTCTGCACTTTGAGCAGCTTGTGCTAATACTCTTCTGCAAACTAAAAATGAAATCTTTGCATAACAAAACTTAGCAAAATTCATATACATTTCACATAAACGAACTTAAATGTAACATGCAGTCATACACGTAACACGCGGACATGCGAATGCATATGCATATACAGAAATGCTTACCTGGGGGTGGGTGTCAGAATAAGTCGACAATGAAGCTGAATTGCATTTTTACAGAAGAAATTTCTCAGGGAAATCGCCATTTTTTGTTTAGGGCGAAGAAATGACACGGCGGTGAAGTGGTGAACTTCCTGATTGTTAGGGTTTTAGAAATTGATTTGGTTGGGAAGGGAGCACGCCGAGGGAAAGCTTGTATAAAATAATAAAATAGTTTTGATAAAGATGACGTGAAAATAATACTGTAACAATAATGCGGAGTAACAATATTGCATTTTTTGTCCTTAAATTATATAATAATTGTAAAATTTATTCATAAATATAAATTATGATCACTTTTTGTTCATAAATTATCATTGACCTTGCATTTTTCTTAGATATCAATAAAAAAAATTATGATTAGTATATTATTTTTTTTGCATTAATTGTTGACAAAATGTTTCTAATAATTTGGATTAAAGTTAAATGGGTTGAGAGAGTTAAAGTAAAATGTTGATTTTAATAATATTATAGATAATCCTCCATCAAATAAGGAGTATGTTACTCCGTATTATTTTATTTTAGAAAAAAGGTCAAATAAGTCCTAGAATATTACTTAAAAAGTCAATTAGGTCTCTAAACTTTTTAAAGTAGCAAATAAACTCATCAATATTGTATTTTAATGGTTCCGCAACCTTCAGCGATATTTCCGACGACAAAAACGACTGACGCCATTCACCATTGAAACCGAGAAAGAAGGCGACCCAGATGGTCACCTTCACGACTGAGTGGTTGTCTTCTCCGTTGATTCAAAGGAGACTAGTGAACATTCAACGGTCGCTGGTTGCTTTATTGTTGGAAATATTAACGGAGTTAGACGGAATATCGTTAGAGTTGGTCAGAATATTGATCGAAACCTTACTGACTTGTGATAGCAGGTCACTAATGAATTTTTGAATTTTATTGCACAAAATGAAATGTTGATGTGTTTAATTGCAACCTTAAAAAGTTCAAATGTCTAATTGATTTTTTAAATATAATTTGAAGGTCTATTTGACCATTTCCCTATCTCATTTTCAAAATCTCAACTAAACAAAGAGTAAGCATACTTTTTTTTTATTTATTTCTTTTGAAAATGGGTCTCACATAACTAGAGTTAGTTAATAGGAAAAAGTGTCAAATTAGCCCCCTAAGTCAAGTGGATAGTGCAATTGGATCCCCTAAATGAAAAAAGCTCCATTCAAGTCTCCTAAACCTGTAAAATTGTTCAATTAAGTCCAATATAACTTGTTTAACAGGTTAAATCGATATAGTGTTGACACATGTCTTTCTTATTTTATTTTTTAAAATAAATACTTTTTATGTATTAAAAATATTTTATTATTAATTAATTAATTAAAATAATAATAATACTTTAAATTTTTTTAAAAAAAAAAAAAAAAAAACCAGCCACCGGCTGTCCGCGCCGGACAGCCGGTGGTTGTCTTCTTTCTTCACGGACCGCCGTGGCCGTCCGTCTAAGGAAGACGGCCAGACGTCCATGGCCGCCTTCCTTAGACGACCGTGAAGAAGGAAGATAGCCACTAGCTGTCTAGTGCAGACAGCCGGTGGTTGTTTTTTTTTTTTTTTTTTTTTAATTTTTAATTTTTAATTTTTAATTATTATTATTATTTTAATTAATTAATTTATAATAAATAATATTTTTAATTTTTAATAAATAAAAAAACATTTGTTTTAAAAAATAAAATAAGAAGGACACGTGTTAGCACCATATCGATCTAACTTGTTAAACAAGTCATATTGGACTTAATTGAACAATTTTACAGGTTTAGGAGACTTGAATGGAGCTTTTTTTCACTTAAGGGACCCAATTGCACTGCCCACTTTGACTTAGGGGACTGTCTATCCCTAAAAAATACGGAGGTTTGGGCTTTAAACGTCTTCATGAATTTAACCTGGCGCTTTTGGCAAAACAGGGATGACGGCTTTTAATTTATCCGAATTCCCTTGTTGCTCGTCTGCTGAAGGCAAAATATTTTCCCCATTGCAGTTTCCTCGAGGCACAACTGGGCAATAACCCAAGCTACTTATGGCGTAGCATGTTGGCGGGTCAACCTCTTTTGAAACTAGGCGTATCCAGACGTATTGGCGATGGAGCAGAAACTAAAGTTTGGGGCTGGCCGTGGCTCGCGGAGTTGATCAACCGGCTTTGGACACCCCATGCATAGAAGCCTTAAAAGAGGCGACTATAAACGGGCTTCTCACGGCGCAAGGCGATTGGGATGTGGAGATTCTAAAAGATCTCTTTGTGGAGAGCGATGTCCCCAGAATTATGGCAACACCAATCTCGATCAATTACCCGGATTCCTGGAGATGGAGGGGTGATATACGGGGAGTCTACACTGTCCGGCAAGGATATTATTTGCTCACGGCTTCTAATGGGGAGATGCTGACGACAGGGGGGTTCACGAAGTGGCAGCTGTTGTGGAAACTTCCGATCCCTCCCAAGGTGAAGAACCTACTATGGAGGTGCGCACGTGCCATTCTCCCAGTCAAAGAGATCCTGAAGAGTCGCGGAGTATGGATTGGTGGGGGCTGCCCACTTTGCGACAATCCGGTGGAAACAATCGAACACCTGCTGTGTGAGTGTGCTATTGCGAAGCAGATTTGGGAAGAGGATGAGGTACTAAGAGGCCGGACTATTCAAGACTTTATGGAGGCAGTGATAAGAGTCGCCAACACAACGCAAGCGGTACGCATGGCAGCGATTTTTTGGGTCTTGTGGGGTGCGCGGAACGACCGGGTTTGGAAGGCGGAGACGAAATCTATCGAGACCATCTTCATAAGCAAGTCCAAGCGTTACAACGCCTATGGGATCCACTGCGTTCGCATACTAATGCAAGCTGTTCGAGTGTCGCATCCACGTCCCTTTGGAGCCTACCTCCTCGTGGTTGGATCAAATGTAACGTTGACGCCGCACTATTTGCGAATGGGGCGGGCTTCGGCGTGGTGGCTCGAGATCATGGCGGCAACTTCATCGCAGCGCATGGTGGTAGGTTGGGGCAGATTCGTGATCCCTTGCTGGCAGAAGCTACCGCGGTCGAACGGGCGTTGGCATGGATCAAGAACCTAGGTTTTAATAATGTAATTCTAGAGATGGATTGTTTGAAAGTCTCTACTGCTTTTAATTCTCGTTGTGTTGATTTTTCTTATGTTGGTTCCATTGTAAAGCAATGTTCTACAATTGCTAATGATATTGGGAACGTCAAAGTTCGCCATATCAAGAGGTCAGCTAATCAGATCGTTCATGCTCTTGCACGGGCAATCCATTCTCCGTCTGTCCTGGGGTCGTGGTGTAATCACCCGACCTCGTGTATTGCTTCTTTGTTGAGAATTTAATGAGATTGGTTCGTTTTGTTTCAAAAAAAAAATATATGATATTTTCTTAACCAAACACCCCACAATTGTGTACTTTGACAAACTAAATTCAACTCATGTGCATGGTCCCAATGCAAACTTGAAAAAAGGAACAATTTTGGAGAACCTATTTCAAATTAAAATAATAAGGCTAAGAATTTCAATCCATCCGTAATGAGAAAAACGTATGATCAGTAAATCAATTAAAAAAAAAAAGGGTTGAAATCCATTTAATCAACCTACATTAGCACATACAATGTTGTTTTCATAATGTGATAAAAGTGCTAACCCAAAGGGAGCATAATAATAATAAAAGGGCATTACATGAAGAATGTGACAAGAACAACATGAGGGAGGGGCAGGCCACATTGTTGGTCAGATCATTCAGTTTTCCAAGCATAAAAAACATGGCAGAATTCAGGTGGCCTGGATTGTGAATCATCACAGCTTTTTTGAGGAAGGCTATTGTCTTCTTCTCCTTCTCCCTTACCACCATTCCCTTGCTTGAAGATGAAAACCCCTGGCCCTGCTGCAACACTGCTGCTATCATCATTGAACATCCAATCATGCACATCCCAGAACACTTCCACTGCCACATTATCCACCATCACCGTTTCGTTCCCTCTGAATCTCCAGTTCAGGTTCATCACCCGAACCGACTCTATCCCATCCACACTGATCCACATCTCGGGCTCAGTAGGCCCCGAGAGGTCGGTTTCTATGATGATGTTGTGCTCCCTTTTCCCTCTCCCCAACATGGTTCTGGTGCAAAAGCATCTCTTTGCATACACACTTTCTTTCTTGTGCACCAAAGTTGCATCCACAACGGGAGGCCTCGATTTGGTTCTCTTGAAGGCCTCACTCTTTTGGTCACCTAGCAATATGACCACCTCCCCTCCCGTGGCCAATGCGACATAGAAGTCTGAATCGGGCTCGGGGCTGCTGGAGAATTTAGCAGCCCTGAAATCCCAGTAAACATCGACACGTTCTTGATCTACATTGAAGGACTTGAGGCCCTTCTTCCCCCAAAACTGCCAGGTTTTCAGGTCAATCTTGCATGTGTAGTGGTTGTCCTCTGAAGGGTTTTCCACGACGATGGAGAGGGCGTGGCCTATCAAAGATTTCGACCACGTTATTGTGATGGTTCGGAGCAAATCTGCAATTTTGGCTAGGTGTATACAGGTCACATAGCTTTGATCTGTTGCACTCTCTTCTGCTTCCTTTTGATCTTCTCGTCTCGGATTCATAGGTCTCAATTGTGCCATAGAAATTTGAGAATTTCTCATTTACTTTTTCAACAAAATCTACATCTCTCACATATTCTTATGTTCAAGCCCCATAAAAGTTTGATCCCCATCAGAACACACAAAATTAGATGAATGTCACCTGGTAAAAGATGATATCATGAATCCATGCAGGAGCCAGGAGTTATTGAATTTCATCAATTTCTGCAACATGAATACAAAAGGTATGACATGAAAATCAAACAGGTTATGAACAATCAATTTCGCGTGACAGATTTCTTTTTCCAGATGATAGAACAGACACAATTTGTTCTTGGACAACCTGTCTCTATAGGATTGATTCTAGACAAAAATTTGTGAAAGAAAATGGGGTTTGGGTGGAGAACAAGACAGGTGATTATGCATTATTGTTCAAATCCAAGGATGGATTTGTTTCCCAACCCAGGTTGTCTGTATTATTCTTTTTATATTTATATTGCATTTTTAGTGAAAAGTTAATTGTGCATTTCCTGATCTTGCGCATCTGTTTATTTTTACATTAGGAACTAAATAACTAAAAAATGTATTTTGTAGTTAATTAACATAAATTAGGAGTTCTTTCAAAAAAAAAAACATAAATTAGGAGTTTTAATTTCTTGCCACAAAAGGCACAATTCTCTCGCCCCTAGGGCTGCCACATCCTGACCCGACAAGATAGTGGATGGGTAAATCACAGTGACTCAGCAGTCCATTAGGTAGGAGGACCGGTATCTAAACCACATTGGATGTAACTCCCACGTTGCAGCTATCAGGACTCAATCTTGTGTCATTATCCACAATCTATCACTCAAGAGCCAACTAAGCTGTCAGGGCGGACAATTAAGTATGGAAAAACCAATCTGGCCAGTACTTTGCCCCTTAATTGGGCCAGCCCAGTGCAAACAGGGATTAGTCTGAGTATAGTACAGGGTTAAAGGTGCCTCCTACAGTTAGGGCCTACTTAGGACACCTCGTGGTCTGACAAAAAAAAAAATAAAAAAATCAGGAGTTTTCATACCTCATACATTGTATATGGACAGTTGATTGACTAGAAACAAAATGTAATCAAGAATAGCCTGTAAATCCAGCAGCAAAGCTCATATACTAGATTTGATGATCTCCCATTACTTTCATTTTCACATAAAAACACTTTCCATGTTCATACATCTTCCAGAGGCTTTTCATTCTACCCTTTCTACAAGTAAAAGAACACAAAACTTTGTATCTATGCACACCAACAAGCTCTAAAATGCGACAGTTTCACACTACAGCTTTAAATACAGTACACAACGTTTAAACTCGGCTTAAGAGCCAAATGATTGTTTCCAAACTCCAACAACTTCAACATCCTAACCTTCTTTAAGTGCGTACGGGGCAAGGGCTCCAAAGTATAAGTATAAGAAAGGCTGTACAAGAACTCTCAAGTGTGATATAATGGATCCAAAATAATGGCCTCAAGATGAAAATTTTTCTCATGGTTAAACCATAAATTTCCCTCGTGGTGTAGATCGGCTCCTCCTCAGCTCAGGAGCCGATGAGTTGTTCACTTCTCTTGCACTCCTTAGGGTGCTGGTTCCATTTGAAGGTTTGTCATTGGGTTTTCTTAATTCAGGAATAAACGAGATACCTGGCTCCTTAATATTAGGTAGAATGCTATTATTGCTATATGACGGTTTATCCAATAAGCTTTCCATTCTCTGTGTCATTTCCCTGTATATATGATAAAATTTCACCAATCAGAACTGTTAAGAGTCCCACATTGAAAAAATAAGCAAGAATATATGGGTTTAGACTAGCTAATTGGTTGGATTCAATCTTTTAGCGTGCATTATAACCCAATTGAGTGACTCTAGCCCAATAATGATACCTTGGTTCAACATTCTGAGAGTTTCTTGAGAAACTCCTTGGGAGGTTCTTCATCATCCTTATGGTACCGGCATGTGATCCAACAGGTATGTGGTCATTCTCGGCCTCGGAAGCATCACTTCTCTGAGCCTCATCGATCGAGCTCCCATCAGATAGCAACATCACAGAAACATCTGATGTTATCTGTATTTTAGTCGATAACTGATGCTTAGCCTTTGCCTTGCCATCATGTTTGCCTTTTCTAATCCCGCCTTGCCTTACATTAAGCACTTGCTTAAACTGCTCTTGTTCGGTGTCTGGTTGAATTTTCCCCGCATTCATCCTTTGGAGGCTGTAAAGAACGTCGGTGATGTTTTCCTGCTTCAACGACCCTCGTGAGCCATGAGGTCCTTGCAAGTTACCCGACGATGGAAATATAGAGGGTACACCCGTAAGAGACTTATTGACGGTGACAGGAACTCTAGCAGGAAAGGGTAGTTTCATAACTGGCGGGTTTTCACTCGTCTCGGGCTTGATCCTACTCTTGATATGGGCGCCTCTATCAGTCGATACTGACCTTCTAACTGGAGGAGAAGGTGATCTTGCCTTATTTGAGGGCACCGGTCCCTCTTCAGTAATTAACGACATTTTTGGTATAGAATCCTTGTCTATAAACTTAGAAGGGAAAGGCGACCTTCGTTGTTTACCCGAGGAAGAGCTTCTGACCTGAAATCGAGTTTTGTGAAAATAAAAATCGGTGAAAAGTTGATCATACTTAGGCAATAATTGTAGCTGAAAGTAATACGTGTTACCTCAGTGCTTCGAGTTTCATCATTCCTATGCATACGAAGAGGTGATGCTGCGCCTCTAGTGTTAACGCCTTTTTGCAAGTGTTCAAGTTCGGCTTCCTTTTTCTCGAGCGCTAACTTCAAGTTCGAGATCTAAATCAATCCAAAAATGCAAAATAATGTCAACTTCTTATAGATATAGAAGGTGTATGATCAAGTGATTCGAAAACTCAGACCTCTTCTTTCATGTCTCGAATTTCACCCGTTTCCTTGCTAGATCGAGCAGCCCCAAGATCAATAGAGGCAACCCTCTCAGCAAATTTCAGAGTGCTGACTGTCTCTCCCAATGCATTGAGATCGGGATTTATATGCACAAACATCAAGGTCTTCGCCTGGCCTCCTACAAAAAGATCGAAGATAACAGGAACACCATTATATGCTTCATTCACATAACTCTGCATCAACCTATTAAATTTGAAGAAATCTTGTAAGAAAGTGTACCTAGAGAATCTTGTAATACTTGAGTGAGCTTGCTATTTCGATAAGGAATATGCGAACTTTTCTTAGCAAGAGCAGATATGACATCTCCCAATGCAGACAACGATCTGTTTATATGTTGAGCTTCCTTCAATCTTTCCCCAACGGCTTCGGATTTATCCACTCTTTCACTTCCAGCTAGATCAACTAGGTGAAGACAACCCTTCAATATAGATCCCGATACCAGTTCTTTTCCTCGAACATGAACCGTTAGAATACTGCAAAATGGCATCACAAGCATGGGATATTGAGTGAAAATCAATGGCAAATGTTTGTGGATATCACTGGAATATATATATATTCTTGATAATTGAAGCATGTGCTCCATCTCAACTAAAAGTCTAAGCTGATAGTTAGATAGCAACACGTGGACCGTAGTCGCTTATCGGGTGACCTTTGGTCTGGCTCTGATACCAAATTGAAGCATGTGCTCCATCTCAACTAAAAGCCTAAGCTGATAGTTAGATTGCACATTAATGGTTATATGCTCAACATTGATAACAATTTGACAAGCATACCTATGAGAACGGCTACTCCGCTCATTTAGAGCAGTGGCACCTATAGCACGGTTTTTTTGTCCAATTTTCATCAAATCAAGAACATCTTCGGTACATCTAACTGGAATCAGACTCGCATCAGGAACATTCAGGCCATTAAGTTGAGAATTGTTGCGTACGTCTAATGTGAAGATTGTTAAGGTAGCACAGATAAAAACTTCATTAATCTATATGTATATATATATGGGCAATGACTTTAAAAGAGACAAGAAAAAGAATAAGGATATCTCCTATTAGTCCCATCAATGACCAATAGATCTCTCACTTGTTCATTGTATATCTCGATCATTTGTACTCCTACTTCATATTCTATAATGTCACTTCGAGTCTGTGAAATGTGGAACAGATCACGCAATGAACGATAATTCACACCCCAGCTATCCTCTGTAGTCATATCCGGGCCACTCTGGAAATATGAAAGAAATGTAGCAATGTGAAATATAAAGAATTCAGAAATCTGTCTAGAAGGCTCATGTTTATGAAGTATTGGATCAAAAGAATAGTAATTTCAAATTACCATTGTATATGTCTTTCCCGAGCCAGTCTGTCCATACGCAAAAATACAAACATTGTAACCATCAAGAACGGATCTAACCAACGGCTGAGTGTCAGCATATATTTGTGCTGCATGCAGAAAACACAAAATCAACGGTGAGAATCTTCTCGACATATGTAGCATTCCAAAAGCTTCAGAATGATTTACAGGAAATCACTAAGCTGAAAAGAAAGACATACATTGAGTCACTTGAGTTCCAAAAACCTTGTTGAAAGTGAAAATCTTCCTCGCATCTTTGCCATGTTTACGAGGATTGACTATCATGATGTCTCCATTTTCTCCAATATAATCTACACTGGACTGTGTATCAGATTGTTCAGGCAGAAAAGGCCTCACTCTACAATAAACTCTAATGGTCCCTGGCAAGAACCAAAAAAAAAAAAAAAACTTAAACTTTGGGTAAAGGGAAAATTTAAACTTGAGAATATTATTAAAAAAAAAAAAAAAAAAAAAAACTCACCTTTAAGGTCTTGAACTTGATTATAGAGCTGACGGTTTTCGTCCAAAACTTTGTGATAAGAATCAGCAGCTACTTCAAGGCCCTTAATATGGTGCTCTGAGAGGTCGAGTGGGGGATCATATTGTTAAAGTTCGACTTTTTAAATTCAGAACTAAAGGATAATATATTAGTGTCTTACCAAACCGTCTAAATTCTTCCTCCCATCCAGACTGATAATGCAGGACTTCTAGCCTCGTCCTTCTATATAAGTTTTTCAGTTCCTGAAATATTTATAGAATAATAAATAAATGATAAGAAATGAACTACGATATTTTCAATTAGTTTCGTAATTAGTCTTGATTCTTCTTCTTTTTTAGTCTCCTCAATCTATTACAGTAATGATCGAAGTTTCTCTAGATTTGTTAATAGTCATACCTCCAACTCTTTTTGGTGAAGATCGACTACTTCATTACTAGCAGAATAACTGATGCTATGCAAGCTGAGTTCACGTTTTCCACCACAAATGCAGAATTTGGAGATATCACTTGAGATCAAACTCGTTCTGTGGCTAAGGTAATTAGATATGGCTTCCAGAAATTCAGATCTTGATATAGGACTGCAGTTATCGCCCAATATTTGCTTGAGTAACACTCTAAGCTGCAAGTGATGAAAAGAGAAGAATGAATTTATTTGGACGCAATAAGACAACAATAAGCCATAAAGCTATAAACGTACCTGATTGCTTTGAGAAACCAGCAATCCAGATAAGTCCCTTACCACTTTCCTTAGCACAGCATCAATCACCTACAAATTTTCCACCTTTAAACTAAACGGAATAGAAAATTTGTTCCATAGCATCTTTTTTGAGTACTACTGACTCTGTTACAATGCAGTATCTGTTCATAACTTCTTTCACAACCTACTGAAACACAAAGAGTCAATATCGCCTCCACTGAGGGGCGAGAACCCACAACCTCCCATATGGAGAGCAACTTGGTGCCACTAAACCACAAGGCCATTGGCCCATAGCATCTAAATTTGAAAAGTGTACAACATTTTATAGGAGATTAACCGAAGAAATTGAGCTGGGCTTACCTACCATTGAATTCAAAGGCAAATCTTCAATCCCATTTCGTTCCGTTAAATAAGCTTTTAGAAGACTAAGACCAAAGCGATCAAAGAGGAAGGCCATAGCATTGGCTGCACTGGATTCTTCACCCGAGAATTCACTAGGTAGCTGCAGAAACTCGAGTAGTTGTTCGAAATTCGACGATTCAGAATCATCCAGTGACTCATCCGCGCTATCGCTGCCAGCAAATGAAGACGAGGATGCCTTAGGGGATGATGTGATCCTCACAGTTCCACCATACCTCCAAACTCCAATTCCTCCAGCTTGCTTCCATTCATAGTACCCTTTCAGGCATAAAATGCAGTCCACAACTTTGCTGGATGAGCCACCCTATGGATTCACAAATTTTAAACCTCTCAACACAAACTTAATAGCACTCTACCAATTAAGATCACATTTGATATTCCACAATCTGGATTTCATTGTTAAATAACAAGAGTATTCATAGCATTATCCTTGCATAGAGACTGAATGTATTATAATGAGGAATAATCAAACATAAAAACGGAACCTTTTCAAGATCAGATGCTTCAAACGTAAGAAGCTGCATTCGGCCAACAGCAACAAGAAAATTCCTCATATTTTCGAAATACTGGATAGCAGACTGGGCAGCACCCTCACAGGACACATCCACCATTGGAATTTCAACCACCTTTCAAGCACAAAAGAACAATTATAGTTAATAAAAAGATCAAGAAAACAACGAAACCATCATTATTTGATGACAAAATCTTGAAAGTGACAAACTTTCTGTTCATATCCAGGCAGAATGATGGAGGGTACCTTGAGAACTGCTCCGGGATTGACTTTGTTGAGGACATTGCAGAGAATGAGGCCATTGCGAAGAGCCAAACAGAACTCCTCTTCAGTGGGTTCTTTGGGGAGGACCGCTGGTGCACCGTGGTCCATCTGACGCAGCCACTCCGCCGCCTCGTACCTCCTTGCAGCTGCATTTTAATCAGAAAGTTCTTTATTTCGTATGAAGTTCAATACCAAATTTCTTCTTTCGTCTTCTTGGTTTTATTTTAGAGACTTGCGCCGCAGGGGAACAAATTATGGGGATGTTTGATAAATAAATATTTGCGCCGCAGGGGAACAAATTATGGGGATGTTTGATAAATAAATATTAACTGATTTAATTAGTAAGCTCGACTAGTTGATAGAATTAACTGATTGTAGAAAAATATTTGATAAATTAGCTGTTAGTTGATAATTGATTACATGTAAAATTACTTTCACAAATAGTTCCTTGGTATTTACTAAGGTTCTGTTTGGTAAAATAGTTAACCTATCAGCCAATTTTAATTTATTTAACCAGTATTAATTGTTTGACTTGGTTAAAAAATCAATATAAGTATTTGGTTAATTAACTTTTTGTAACTTTAAAATGCTAAAATTCAAAAAACTGCTCAAAACAACTTTTTCTATTAGCTTTTTGAGAAAATAAATTATAAGAAACATCTATAAGCTAACAGCTAATTTACCAAACACATGTCTACAATCAGCTAATGTTATGAACTAATTATATCCTCTAATTAACTCAATCAACTAACAGCAATCGGCTATCAGCTAACAACAATTTACCAAACAGGACCATAGTATTTATTTTAAATGTTTGATAAGTCAAATAACTAAATTTGATCAAATTTAAAAAATAAAAATAAAAATAAAATTGCCCAAATGTTTGATAGTATTTATTTACCACACACCTCCAAATTTTTATAATTTTAACTATTTACAAATTACCCAGTTTCACCCCATAATTAATAATCAAGTAAAATTGTTTCCAACTAAAGCAACATTTTTAATGCAAACAACATTGAATATAACCTGATAACAAATAATGTACAGTATACACTCTTAGTACATCATACATTTTCTCTTATCTTAAATCATCCTACGCAAATACATAATTTGATTAGTACAATTAACTTCGTATCATAAATCTCATAAATACTTACTATTATTAAGGTGCAAAATTCAAAATATAAAAATATAATGTACAGTAGCTTCCCATATTTAACATGATTAATTATGAATTATAATGAAGAGTAAGGCTTTGATTTGACAACTAATTGATCATAACGCACAAAGGTAATCGACATTCGACATATTAATTTTGGTTAGGGAAATAAAGCTTTTTGGTGGAGTGTATTTGAAGTTAGGTGGCAGCGGTGCAACCCATGATGATGATGATGAGATTTCCTTTTCTCTTTTTTCTTTTTGGAAGTGGTAAGGACAATTTTTATTTTTGAATAATTAGGAAAATTTAAACCCACTATCGAAGGTAAGGGTATGTATGGTTAAATTGTGCATTGTGATCTTAGTGGATAAAGAGTTACAAATAGGTAAATCAATCTAGCTAGGTTGTCTATAATTAACTAGTTCAAATCAAGAAGGTCAATTGACTACTCTCGTTCAGAGTCGAACTTATAACAACCTATTTAACTTGAATGGAGTGTCCCAATAATGACAATATTTAGTGAGGTATCAAACGCCATGAATGGACATACAAAAGATTCAGCATTGTAGCCTGTTGATCTGAACTTCTTTTTCTCTTCTCTCAAAAGGTTGAATTCTCGACTCTAAAAGCCTCGCACCCTGACCAGTCCTTTTTTTTTTTCAAACATTACGCCCCACCCGCGCACCTCAATTAGTCAATCACCCAATCAACCTCATGAGTCATGATTCTGGTGGACAATCCTGTTTTTCCTACCTTTCCCTTTTCCATTTCTTGCATCAAATATACTTTACGTTGTTTAAGGTGACAAGTGGGTACGTGGGTCACACCAAATTATATTACGCACTCTCAAATTTGTTTACCTGATACATACAAATTTATTTTTAATATAACATAAATTTATTATTATTTTTTTAGTAAGACATAAATTTATATTACAATTACCCATTCGAAACGATAACAGAAATGTCATTACACTTTCATAGTGTTGTATTATACTTTCTCAATTTATTTCTTCACAAGATCATTAATTATATAAAAAGGTGTTTAAAAAAAAAAAGATTGATACCCAAATCAAATGCCAAAAAATCTAAATTGCCGAAATTGGTATTTTTATCCAACTCAATTGTCAAGTTAAGAAATCATTCAAAGTAATAAAACAGATACGTGCATTAGTATTTCATATATAGCAGTTAACCTCAATGCTGATTTATCAGTTTTTTTTATTTTTTATTTTTTATTTGTTGGAAGTAAAAAAAAAAAAAAAAAAAAAAAAAAATACAGAACTAACCTGCTTCTTCAGCTTTTCTTTGAGCAAAGTCAAGGTCATTGAAGGTATCTTCAGAATGGAGCAAACTCTTGAGTCCTCTCAACTTCCCTCCAGGACTACTGTAATTGCTAAATGCAGAACTCAAGTTGCTCATTTCCTGCGGCATTTTTAATTTTTTTTTTTTTTTATGCCGGCCTGCAACAACGCAAACACCCATTAACAGCACAGAAAATTAACCTATATATGTTTCTTTGTCATTTTTCTTAGATATATTTTATCTATCTGGGATACTGACAAGACAAGAACAGTAATATAATATACTTACGTTGGTTTTGTCGTCGCCGGCGTCAGAAAAAGTGGAAGCTGGAGAAGTTAGAACTAACAGAGAAAGTGGTTGATTCGATCCAGTGAACTGAAAGTTGGGGATGGATCGCGTGGGGAGTTTGAATTGATGTTTCTTGATTTTTACGTACAACGACGACGGGTTTCTCGTGTTCTTCACTTAGTAAACAAGAAGAAAAGCAAATTCGAATTTTGGACGCCCAAGAGGAGAGAAGAAGATCATTTAATGCAGGCCAGGCAAGAGAGAGAGAGAGAGTGAGAGAGAACGGGGAGGAGAATCAAGAATGGCGTAAATTAAAATAAGGTGATAATAAGATACCCTACAAAAAGAAACTGAAAGTCTCTCCACTCTCGTCTTCGCCTCCTTGTTTCGGATTTAGACCGCTGAATTGAATACTGAATACTCAAATATTGTAAATTAATCACAATATTGTAAATATATGACACATTATTTACGTGAGTAATTAACCACAATGTTTTAAATTTGACTCTCAATGTTGAACAATTTAATTTATTGACATTTTTTAATTTGATCAGTTGGTAAGTTTATAAGTAATCTAAGCTTGTTGTTTTTGCCGATTAGGATCACAAGGCATACATGCTTTTATCTAGTGCACGGCATTGGGTAATGGTTGTAGATTTCTTTCTTCACCTAACAAAATGTGACACACTATTCATGTTGTGATAGCTCAAAGTTGTTGACTGATTAACATTTAGTCTAACTTCTAATGGTAATAAGGTGGTAGATGACTGATATGACCAGGGATCGAGTCGGCAGTGTGTGAGCAACCTTTCAAAGTAAGGGGATTCCTTGTGCGCAGTAAGCAAAGGTTTAGCCTCTGTGGTTCATGTTCAGTTGAGTTACCATGATTTACATCCTTCCAGATGCTCTGTCGGACTGAGGGGTTGGGGGCCCTTAGGGTTGGGGTTTAACCTTTTGGAAAGAAGATAAGATAGTGTAAAATTTCTAATACAGAGTAATATTTAGTGTGTCAAGTTTAATTAACATTAACTAAAAAAGAAATAGAATCAGTGAATTTGTGCTAATAAATATTGAAGATACGAAAATGTAATAATTTCTTAACTATATTTCTTAAAAGTTACATTTCTTAGCATTTTTTATAACTTCATATTTAGAAAAGTTTACACCTTACGGTGTACTAAGACACCTTATCATGTCAATACTTTGTATTAAGTGATGTCACACTTTCTTCCTTTAATATGTCACTAATTTCAATGATAGTATCGTAAAATATATAAAAATTTATCTAAAATATAATTTTCAATTCAATGGTCATAAAAAAATTATTGCGAGACGCATGACAATATTTTATTGAGACGCATGACAATATTTTATTGATATTGATGAATTTTTCACTGATTAATTAAAATAAATTTTGTAATTACTAATAATTTATTTAATTATAATTAATATTAAGTGATAAAAAAATCATAATTACTATTTAAAAGTGTGCATTGAAAAATTTTAATAGTTTAATATTATATAACAACTGAAAATGCACAGAGTAAATTTTATTCTACTACAATAATCTACCAACCACATAAGAAAAAAAATAAAATATACTAAAAATTTTATTTAACGAATTTGATTGAGAAAGTTAACAAAAACTAAACTCATAATAATTTTTTAATACAAGAATATTTTCAATTTATTTACTTGACTATTCTTGTTGGGATAATATTTCCGAGGTTGTAGGAAGAAATGGGGGTAGACTAGAGTTAAGTGACGTTTGAATTGGGCAACAGGGACATACTGCCACGTGGCGAGCGGTGAGGAGGGATATACGACGTGACAAGTGGGGCCCTCCGAACGTTGGACTGGGCGGCAAGATCTAGCTGAATTGATGAATGTTGATGGATTCATGCCCATTTTCCAATTACTTTCTCAAATAAAAGATGCATTTAGCTTCTTTTTTTTTTTTTTTTTTTTAAAGGTGGATAAATATTTAATTTCTATATGCCTCTCACCCTCTTTATTTATTGCAGTGAAAAAAATATATTTCAATTAACATATAGATGTAACAGCTTAGTTGCACATTGTTTGCACGAGTTTAACTCAATGGTTCAGTATATAATATCTGAGAGAAGAGACCAATGTTTGAATTTCGATAACGATAATGTGGGGATTATGCTTAAAATGAACAAATACCTTATACAGATCTGTAATTTAATTTCTCTCAAATACTCTGTCGGACCTTGAGGCCTCAAGATAAAATAAAATTAGAACTTAAAATTTATGCACAAATATTATTGTTGCATGTCCACTTTAAAGTGGAGAAAATGGCTGAAATGAGTACAACTAGCAGTCCACCCCCTCCAAAGCAAAACTGTTTCAATCCCAGGATGACAATTGTGCAATGCCCACAACATAGATCTCATACAATGAATAAATAATGAATTGCCATAAAAAACAATTAGGTGAGATCCAAATTAATCTCAGGATTCTCTGAACCTTGTTACAAAAATATTGACATATAAAAACATTTTACTCTACTTTTCAATTTAAAAAATACCATTAATTAAATAAAATACTAGTACCCTTGTATATTTATTAATGTTAGGCAACCTACAGGGGAAGAAGAAAAAACAAAAATATAGATAAAACAAATAAAAAATAGAATCATTCTTCTGGTAAAACTAATAAGAAAAATTATACATGTACTCTCGAGAATTAAAACTTTCGATGATGCAGCAGGATTTGGAAGAAGAGACCAAGGTTCAAACTTGGCGACAGCAATGTGGGGATTATGCCTTAAGTGGATAGATCCATTGTGTATATCGATATTTGATCATATTTGCTAAGCCATTGAGCCATTGTGATTTACATCCTCCCAAATGCTCTGTCAGGATTGGAAATCGATTCAACTTTTTGGGAGAAGAAGTAAAACTTTTGATGCATATTGGGAGAAGAAAATGAAAAGATAAAAATAACATGTCTCTTTTTCTTCTAGATCAATTAAAATGTGTCATGTTAGTAAGACTATAAATTAGATAAGAGTAAAAAGTGAGATACGTATAATATTATTTTCGTTGCATCAAATAAAAAAGTAAAAAGTAAAATGAGAGTACGTATAACAGATCAACGTCATTTTTGTGTTTATATAATAAAGGGAAAATGACACTTTTTATCCCTGAGTTATATACTTATAGCACTTTTTCCCCTTCAATTATTTAGGTAAGCACATTAGCCCCTTCAATTATTCTAAAAGTGGTGCATTTTCCCCCTAATATATTAAATTGACATTTATACCCTTAAAGTAAACATTTTATTTATTTTATTACTCCAACAAATTATTGCTTATACGTAGGGATGACCACGGTTCGGTTTGAATTGAACCGGATACTAAAGCAATTGAATTAATAGTTTACGGTTATAATTCAGATCTAGAACCCAATATTTAAATGTCAATTTATTAAAATTATGTATCAAAAAAATTGAATCTTGAACCGTGAACCGGCGGTTCCGGATCTTATTCGCGATTTTGAACCGTCTTTATTTTAAAATTTTATTTTTTATTTTAAAATAGTCTAAATTCAACAATAAATGTATTTTATTTTTTCAGTTCGGAACATGAACCGTCCGTTCCGGTTCACGATTTTAATAAACTCTAAATATCGAATTTCGATTCTAAATTGTAATTGGAATATTTCGGTTTGGTTGCTATAGTGTTTGTTTAGTTTGAACCAAATTATGGTCATAATTTGTTGGAAAAAAAATAAATTAAATATTTAGTTTAAGGGTAAATATGTCCATATAACATTTCAGGGGGAAAAACAACCACTTCAATAATTTATGGAGAAAAAATGTAATAGGTATATAACTCAGGGGGAAGAAGTGTCATTTTCCCTATAATAAATGATGAAAGAATATAAATGGTGAATTGGTGAGAGTTAGTATAGTGTAATTAAATAGTGAACGTTGGGAGATTTTGAAATAGAAAAGGGTCGAAAAACAACTTTAGTGTAGTGAGTAGTGTGTGGAAGAACGTTGGATCCCTCCCATTCAAATGATTTAAGAGGCAAACCTTTTTCATGCTTCTTTTAACCATAATGGGGACCTCTACGTACTTTCACTTTCTACTTTCACTAATCTCCCTATGGCTTCACTTCTACGCTGACATTACACTTTATATTTGGTCAACCACGCCGCACCCACCATATTAACCACCTTTAACTCTCATGTTGTGTTCAATAAGAGTCTATTGAAGTTACTTAATTACAATTACTCTGCCTTTATATGCTAATTTAATTTAGCAGGTGTTATTGAATACAATGTGTATATATATTCTTGTGACAAAAGGTGGAATCGTCCACATTGCCGGCACTTTCACACCCCGACCCGACAGTTTATGTAGAGGTAAATAATGGTGACTCAATTGATAAACAGAAAATAGACTTTTAATTTGCTTATTGCGCACAAGGAGCCTCTCATTTTAACGGGTTGTTCCGACGTAATTTATATAATTTAAAACTATTATGTAAGAGGTTCTCTTAAATATACAATGTTAAGTTTAAAATGAGCTAATAAAATATAAAATTTAGTTGATTTATAAACATATAAAAGTAAGCACAATTTATAAAAATTAATAATTCAAAGATCAAGTCTAGCTACAATGTGGGTATAATTAAAAGACCAAAACTGATTTTTTCCTTTGACTTCTAAACATTGAAAATGATTGGCGTGTAAAATGAATTAGATGGAATAATAATCATAAACTAAATTAAGGTAGAAAACAATAACGATGATGGGAGCAGGGTGTCAAAAGTGGTATGAGCCAAAAACTCCCGAGCCAACCCTAACCATCCCGTGATGGAATAGGTTAGAGTTGATCCAAAGTTTGAATATTACTGACTCTGTTATAATATAGAATTTTCTCACCTCAATAAGACTCAAACTCATGACATCCTATTTAAGAATATCACAAGACCACAAGGTCATTCACAACAATTAATTTTTTTTTTTATTTTATTTCTAAACACGGAAAAATCTAATATTATTTAAGTTAAATTATTAGAATATAGGATAATACTATAATAGTTAAAAAATAAAAATAAAAAATCTGAAGTTGGCTCATAGGCCCGTATGAGGCGGGTTAGGGTTGAGGAATTATAACCCACAAACTTTGCAGGTCAACTCGTAAAGTTTCGCAAGAATTTCAACTCGTTGTGGGGCAAACTAGCCTGCATTGACACCCCTAGATGGGGTTATGTCTCAATTAAGTTCATTCTTCAATGGGGCATGGTAAAACACAAACTAATTAATCTAAAATTTGAAGTCCATTAACAATTAATAAATTAATAAAATAATAATAATAATAAGAGAAGTTATGATGTTTGAAAAAGTCCATAGAATTGCGATTTGTCACACCGAATGCTTGAAAAAGCGCTAAAGGCGCATTAGACGATATATGGTAGTCGACATATAAGGTTCAACCGTAGCATTTGGTTAAGAAAAAGGCAAAGTCATAGAGTTTTGGTTTAATTTGATGGAGTTGGTGAATGTATATATGCAGACCAGAAAATCTGTCAAGAAAAATCACAACAACATCCTCAAGAAGTGGAAGACATATGTGACAAAATACGAGGTATAGAAGCACCAAATTAAACATTCAATTCGATCAACATTTGTAACACCAAAATCAATCTTGGAAAGTATATTTTCTTAAGCCATCCATATTATCATTTCATATTCGCACTCTAAATTTAAAGGTCTAAACAGCAATGCTAAAACTAATTTAGAGTAAATTAGGAAATCAATTCAGAACTTCCAAATTGAAATTTTCACCGTTTAATTTGACTACTAATGGAAAATGAAAAGTATTCATTATAGTCAAAAGAAAAATAACTC